TATACCCATATTAATGTTGATTTGAAAGGTATCTAGAAGACCTCTAAGATATACCTATTTAAGTTAGGCCTTGCGGGTATGAACCCCGGTGGCTAGGGTTAAAACGTACGTACGGGATCCAAGAACCAAACTTGAGTACCTACTCGTTTGGGGGTACCACCCACCCAACAGTGAACACTACGCTGTCAGTTTTTGGTTGGCCTTAAGTGAAGGTAAGTTTAAGATTTTCAAAACCCTTTTATCTTAAACTAGGCCTAGCTTAAGGATTATTTAGGAATATTTTATACTGGAATATAGTTTAATTATTTAAACTAGAATTCGTTTAAGGGTTGACAAATATTAAAGTGATTGGCCTTAGACTAAGAATAGTTTAAGGATATTGTTGAATGTTGAATATTGAAAATTGAATATTGAATATGAGTAAATATTGAATGATGAATATTGAATTGAATATTGCAATTATTATGAATGACTGATGAACATTGAATGTGAATATAAATGTTGAATAATGCATGATGAATAATTTTTAATAATTATTGATTATCTGAACTGAACATTATGTGCATGGCATCAAATGATTTGATTATGAATTTAGATTCAGTTTATATGGATGTTCGATGCATTAGATATGCTTACTCAGCTTCAACGTTGAGCGTGTAGTATGTTTTATTTGCTACACGCAGGTTAATGAAGTGACGTGATCCTGGAGGCAGACGGAAGTGAGATTGTCGGAATGGATGTGATGGTTTTGAATTAAAGAACATAAATAAATTATGTTTGTGATTATGATTGTTAAGCTTCCGCAATATTGAAAACTCCGTACTGTTTATATTATGAAAAATATTATTGTGATAAATAAAAGTGTTTGAAATGTTTTAAATTTTTACGATTACCAAGTTAATACTTTAATCTGAAAGGGGCTGCAGACCTGGACAGATTAGGGTGTTACAGCACTACGGTAAGTTGGGGATAAGGGGGAAATAGGTACTGAGGTATTGAGGTTCAGAATTTGTTTCAGACAAAAAATACCGGCTTTGGATGGGGTTTGCATTGGGTGGAGATTGGGAGATGAGGATGAGGCTTGGGGCGTGGGATGGTGCTGGGCCTCGGTGGTGGACAGGGGGGGGGTAGTGGGCTGGGTCTGGTGCACGGGACTGGGCCAAGGGGGAGAACAGGTGAGAGAGGAGGGGTTATTGGGCTGGAGGATGGGGAGGGAAGGTGTGGCCGAGGGGGAGGGGTGGGCAGTGTTTTGGGCTGGGGTGGTGCGCTGGGCAGTGGTGTCGGTCGAGGGTGTGTGTTGGGCAGTGGTGTGGGTCGAGGTAGAGTGGCGGGTAGCGAGCTAGGTAAGGGAATGGTGGTAGGGTGGGGTGGGATGGTGTAGTCATCCGTGGCGTCTAGAAATCTAAGACTCGTCGGGAAACAAATTATACGGGAACCATGGGGGTGTGAGGGGATGATCATACGGGAAACAAGACTCGTCGAGCACGACATGGCGAGAGATGATGAGTTTGTTAGTTTGGAGATCCAGACAGCAGTAACCGCGTTGGCGGGAGGGATATCCAAGAAAAATGCAACGAGCTGAGCGTGTTGCGAGTCTGTGAGGGGTAGTGGCGGAGATGTTAGTGTAACAGAGATAGCCAAAAACTCGGAGATGGGAATAGGAGGGTGGGGAGATGTAAAGGATTGTGTGGGGGAGTTGTTATTTAAAGTAGTGGTGGGAAGGAGATTAAAAATGTGGGCTGCCATGTGAAGAGACTCAACCCAAAATTGGGGCGGGAGTTGGGCTTGGAAAAGGAGAGATCTAACGGTGTTGTTAAGAGTACATAAGGTGCGCTCAGCTCGACCGTTTTGTTGACTAAGATGTGGACATAAAAATCTAAAAAGGATTCCTAAGGAGTTAAAAATGGTTTTGAGAGGAGAGTTACGATATTTAGTTCCATTATCACATTGTACCGCTTTAATTATTGTGTTAAAATGATTTTTGACATATGTGATAAAAGAAGTTAAATGGTTAAATGCGTCACTCTTGTGCCTTCAAAGAAACACCCATAAATAATGAGAAAAATAATCCAACAATAACATGTAAAAGTTGAAACCAGGAATACTTGGAATAGGAGATTGTCATAAGTCTGAATGTAAAAGTTGAAAAGGAAAAGTAGAGACACGACTAGACAAGGAGAATGGGAGGTGCACATGATTTCCCAACTGACATGCATGACATAAAGTATGTTGATAACTCTTAAAAGGAGAAAGATAAGAGACTCCACGGAGAATAGCTTGACTTGGGTGGCCTAGACGCCGATGCCAAGTCTGGTGATCGACAACGGCGACATTGGCTTGTGCGGTTGTGGTGCGTCCTACAGGGTATAGGGGTCCCATATCATTGGATCGATGCATCACGATTCTCGTCCTACGATCCTTCTTAGAAAAACCATGAGCATCAAATTCAACAGTACACTTATTATCACGGGTAAGCTGACGAACAAAGATAAGGTTGTGAGTAATGTGTGGGGAAACTAGGATGTGATTAAGGAAGGGATAGGGGAGGGGTGGTGTAACACCCCGGCCCCCACCCTAGCCGTAAGTGTCCGCTCATAGGATTGTAGACTAGCCCCACAAACAAACACAAGTCTTTCCCGCACACTTTGTCCTCACTCATGCGCGCCCAAGTAAAACTTCCCAGGGGGTCACCAATCCTAAAATTGCTCCAGGTCAAGCACGCTTAACTTTGGAGTTTTTAGGTGATGAGCTCTCAAAAAGAAGATGCACCTTGTTGGTATGAGTAGTACTATCAATCCTTTTGAACTCTTCCCATTCCCATCTTGATACGGGGTATTACATTCACCCCCACTTAGGAATACAACGTCCTCGTTGCATCCTTTTTTTTGAACCCATAGATCTTCCCCGCTAGGTGAACTATGCTCTTTTGGCCTGTCACGGTCACAGGATTGCTCTGATACCATTTGTAACACCCCGGCCCCCACCCTAGCCGTAAGTGTCCGCTCATACCAACACAAGTCTTTCCCACACACTTTGTCCTCACTCATGCGCGCCCAAGTAAAACTTCCCAAGGGGTCACCCATCCTAAAATTGCTCCAGGTCAAGCACGCTTAACTTTGGAGTTTTTAGGTGATGAGCTCTCGAAAAGAAGATGCACCTTGTTGGTATGAGTAGTACTATCAATCCTTTTGAGCTCTTCCCATTCCCATCTTGATACGGGGTATTACAGGTGGTGGGTAATATATGGCTTCCAACAGCCGTAGTGCGTACCTTAGATCCATTACAAACAGTGATATAAAATGGTGAACATAAAGACTGGGAAGAAACATGAGAAAGAGTACATGGGTTAAAGGCAATGCGATGAGAGGCACCGGTATCCATAAACCATGTGGGCTCACGAAGGGACATGGCGTCAAACTGGTGGACTAGGGCGGTGGGTGTGGGTGCTTGGGCCGGCGGGTAGGAGTAAGGTGGGGGAACAAACCACCGGCAGGGGTGGGGGGTATTGGGGTGCCACGGCTGGGGTGGGGGTAGGGTGAGGGGTAGGCATATGGGTTGGGAGTGGTGTGGTAGTGTAGTAGGATTGGGCACGGTAAGGAGAGGGTGTGGACAGGGGTCGCGGGCCCAACAAGCTCCGGTTAGGGTTAGGACAAGGTGATCTCGAGGGATTGTAGCCGTCGGGAGGGGAGCGCTGCCTCGAGGTGTTTTAACGTCTGCGTCCTCGACCCCGATACCCGTTGCCTCGCCCTTGGCCGCATCCATAGCCGTTGCGCTGTGTGGAAAGAGCCATCGTCACCGTAGCTGCTGCCGTGCTGGGACCCTCTGCCATGGGATGCGCCACTGTTATTGCTGCCGTGCTGAAACCCGCTGCTGCTGCCGCTAATAGTCTGCCGACTGTCGCTGGGAACACCAGGCCGAGCAGCGACGAGAGCCGTGCTGCCGGTTTCGGCCGGGGGAATCGTTGTTAGTCCAATAACATTAAAGCGGAGCGGGCTTGAAGAAAATAGGGCAACGGGTCCTAAAATTGGAGAAAAGACTCTAGAGAACAAGTTGATGTTGTGACACCAGTGCATCGACACCGATTTTGAAGATGTTGACAGTAGGTCGCCATGAGGGTGTTGCCTTTGACAATAGTTCAAAAATCATGCTCTAGTTGTATGGCACAAACATGTTTGTTGTCATGAAATAGATCATGAATGACTTTCCAGAGAGCAGAAGCAATGGAGACAAAATAGATAACCAGATCAGAGACTTTGTCTATGATGGTGGACAAAATCCAGCCTTGAAGGATAGCGTCGAGTTGTAACCATGCATCGTCGCCATCAGAGAGAGGGACGATGGAGCCAGATATATAGCCCTGGAGATTGAATTGTCAAACAAGGAGAAGGAAGAGACGACTCCATTTTTTATAATTCGGTTGGGAGAGACAGAGAAGAACAGGAACATGAATTTTTACATTGGAGATAGTAGTAAAAGCAAGATAAGGAGTTTTTGATGGGGTAGTTTGGAATGTGACCTCGCTTTCAGCCATAGTAAGGGGAGGAAAAGAGAGATTTTGGGGAAGAGAAGGGGGTGGCGGCTGGAGTGGTGCTGCTTCCACCGACGAAGAGAGAGCCGACCGAGGCAGGGAGCCGAAAAAAGGAGGGCTAGGATTTTTGTTTTAACGAGTCTCCGATACCATGATGAAGAATTATTTTCATTAAATAATAGAGTTATGATTACATCTATTTATACAAGGGGTCTCAATCCTAAATAAGGTAAGAGAGACATAAATAGGAAACTTATACAAAAAAGGTAGGAGAATAATACAATTATATTAAATATAAATACTATATTTAACAAATATATATACTTAGAAATTGAAACTGTTTAAATATTAAAATAATAATATTGCTTATTGAATTATGGAGTACATGATACAATATATATATATAAGAGGGACTCCCAATACAACTAGAAATAGAGAATTGAAACTCATTAAAGTACTACATTTACCATAAATAAGAATATGAAGCTGATTAATAATCAAACACTACTGTAACATTACTACAAAAACGAGCATATAGACTGCCCCCAATTGCATCGGTTACTGAAAAAACCGATGCAAAAGGTCTAAAGCATCGGTTATTTTAAAGGACCGATGTCATTGCTCCGTTTTTAAATTTTTTTTAAAAAAAATTAAAAAAGTATTAGCATCGGTATTTAAAAATAACTGGTGCAATTGATCATTAGCTTCGGTTCTTTTAAACAACCGATGCTAATATTTATTTTTATTTTTTATATTTTTAATTAAAAATAAAAACAAATCTGTTCTAAGCTTGCAACCGATGCCAAAGCGTGTTCTATTTACTGACCTCTCTCATTTCTCGTTTTTATTTCCACTTTCAATTACAGATCGCATCCAGCCGCGTTCGTCGTCTTCCTTCTCCGCCGACGCCGTCTCCTCGCCAATCTTCATCTATCGCCAACCACTGCCTACCACCAATTCCGTCAAGGGATCTTCAATCTTCTTCAATTCCGTCGGCTTCACCCGTGGAATCTTCAATCACCGGACTCGCCAATCTTCCACACCGATCCCAGTGGAATCTTCCTCGCCAACAAAAACATCTCAAGGGCGTCGTCATCCCAGTGGAATCTTCCGATCCGTTCATTCCGTCGCTGTTGCAGCCATCTCCTCCGCCCTCTCCCCGTCACCGTATAATACGCCTTCTCCACCGTCTCCATCCAGATACTCTGCCACCATTGACTCCCGGTCCGGTCGGACGAACTAGTATGAGGTATTTTCCCTATTTTGCAGTTATTCTCTGAATTTCTATGCGTGAATTTGCACAAGTTATTCCCGATTAGTGTAATTCTACTTGTACTGAACATATTGGTCAGTGGTGGATTCTTTGTAAAAGCTTTGTTGTGACTTTGTTTTTGGTGAAACAAAAAGTTCCTAGTTTTTTATAGAAATTTTGGAGCACTTAAGATTCTTGATAGTTTATTAATTTTTTGATATCTCATAAATTATATCAAGCTAGTAAGGATTTTTTTATTTTTGGTTTGTTGATGTGTTAATATATTGATTCCATGTTTTTTTGGTAATGTGCATTTGGACCCATGTTTCACAAATGAGTATTTTTAAGCCTACGTGTTTGTGATGTTACTATATCATGAAATAGGATTGGCATTGGCTAGGTTTTAAACTGAACTATAACTGCAATGAATTTCTTTTCTTTTAATTTAAAGGTTCTTAGAAATAATAATTGCTTTTTTTTGTGTTCTCATGTTTGCCACTTAATCCTTTTTCGGTTAAGAATTAATTATTGTCATCATTTTGGCATAAGAATACTCAGTTTTAATACATTATCTTCTGCCTAAACTACTTCATATGCTAGCTTCAATTGCAAGTGCATGTGTAGTGAAACTGAATCTGGCTTTTTATTAGTTGTTGAGCAAGTTAGTGGGAGGGACCATGTGCTGAACCATCTAAGCATTCCAGCAGCACGCTTCACTCATCCTGAAATCAGTATGGTTGGACTGACAGAGGTATGATTTCAAATTTCAAACATTTGAAACCTAGATACCATACAATCATACTGTTTGTAGTCTTTTTCCCTATTGTTTGTTGGTTTTCCCTTTATTTTATCAATGGCTTGACATTTTGTTTCTTAAATGGTGTCATTTCATTTTTGAGGTCATTGTGAACTACCACAGTGCCGCCCATTTGGCCTCTTGTATCATTGTATGTATGTCGTGGATGTAGAGATAAGAGGCATTAACCATGTTTACATAAAAAAATATAAGTGTCACAGTAATATTTAAAACCGAAAGGGAAATTGCCAGCGTCTAAAGGAAGTAGTGGGCTATGAGTTCATTTGCAAGTAAAACTGTGTGAACAAATTTTCTCCTGAGAAAATGCTATTGCACCTTAGTAAGTTATTCTTCAAAACTCGTACTTCAGGGTTGTGTAAAATTCGGAGTTCGTTTCCTTTCCCGACTCTTCCTTCCTAAACTTTATTCTCACCGTTTCTGATCGAAATTTCGATTGTGTTTTCGAGATCGACTCTTATTTCCCCTTCCTGAACGGTTCCACTCTGTTACCAAAACTGTTAGTCAGATTGGTTATAAACCTATGCTGCTGCAATCATCTTATTTTTCATCTTGTTTTTGGATCATGTCGTAACATTGAAAAGTCTTTATATCTTGTCTTTTGCAGTTGATCTATAGACCAGACAATGGTGAGATCCTTGGAGTTCATATCATTGGATTGCATGCTGTAGACCTCATTCATGAAGCTTCCAATGCCATAGCTTTGGGGACCCGCATACAGGTTTGTGTTCCTTCTAAACATCATGGGACCTGGCACACTCTAGGCCACCTTTCACTTTTGTTTTGGCAAGGTGGATGGGTCTCAACACTGGCATACTCTAGGCCACCTTACACACCATCAGAACCTTTTTTCTGCTCATAATAACTTCAGCAGCTTAATCCCAACTAATTTGGGTCAATTACATGAAAATTAGTTTCAATGAAATTATTTAGCACTATTTTGTGGCAGAAATTCAAGAAAAGCTTAGCGGTAGAAAGCCTTTCTTATAACCCTGTGTGAATTCCTTCAAATGACAGGTTAAAGTTGACACATCTAGCCCAGCTAGTGAGCCAATTGATGTCTAAAGCTCCATGGCGAACTACCAAATGATTTATGAGGGGACTCACTCGCCTTTGTGTCGTCAATATTCGCTAAGGTGATTTGTGTAATTATTCTGTGTTCCATCTTTTGGGAGGTTCAACTTTTATAGAATATGTACTGGCTTTTGTTGCCAAGTAAGAAATGAGAAGTTTTTTTTTCATGTTCTTTCCCATAATGTTTTAGACTTTTAGGTAATAATCTTTTTTGAGTTTGGCAATGAGTGAATATATTAACATGAGGTAATATATAAACTTTTATTGATTTTTTTGATCTTTATAGAATTGTATTTTCTTTTTTTAATCACATGTTTGTTCCTAATGGTACATACATAAAGATACAAATTAAAGGTGAGACGTTGCAACATGTCTGTTCTTATACATGAAGGAAATCCATGCTTACAACCCGTATTTTTTTAAATTAATAAAATAGCTAAGGCATTGGTTGTTTAGAAACAACCGATGCCTTTGCTATTTTTTTAAATTAATAAAATAGAAAATGCATCGGTTGTTTAGAAACAACCGATGCCTTTGCTATTTTTTTTAAATTAATAAAATAGCAAAGGCATCGGTTGTTTAGAAGCAACCAATGCCTTTGCTATTTTTTTTAATTAATAAAATAGCAAAGACATCAGTTGTTTCTAAAGGCGATGCAATTGAATTTGACCAATTGCATCGCTCGTATTTGCATCGGTACAAAAGCGATGCTAAAGGTACAAAACAACCGGTGCCTTTGCCTTGATATGTACTAGTGTAACTAATATTACCATAAACAATACTATTACTATTATCTAACATAACCCCTCAAGCTGAACTCTAGCTGAAGCAAGAGGAAGCTTGAACACTAGCTAAGAACTGGAAACCTTGAGAAGAGAGAAGTTTGACGTGTGTCGGTGGCTGCTGACATCGAAGAAGAAGAGAGAAGCCTGGCGTGCGCTGGTAGCTGGTGACGTCGTTGAAGAAGAGAGAAGTCTGGCGTGTGCTGGTGGATGCTGACGTCATTGGAGAAGAGAGAAGTCTCACGTGCGTGGGTGGCTGCTTACATCATTGGAGATGAGAAAAGTGTGACGTTGTTACGAATGGGTCGCGAGAGGAGTCCGGGGCTACACATCGGGGAGGCACGATGGAAAGGGGGTAGCGGGCGAGAAGAGTTCCATCATGGCAGGAAGACTACGTACTAAAGTTGTAACACCCCACCCTGGATGACCCGAGTCATCCAGACCAGAGTGCTAGTAAAATCAGGCTACTTTGTAAAATATCATTTTTTTGGAAATACTCTTTTTGATATCTAAAGAGAATTTTAAAAAAAAACGTTTCCCGTGTAAACTTAAGGTAAAAACATCCACAGTTAATACAACCTTACCTTGGGTTCAAGCCCACAAAAAAAACAAAGTAAAATTTAGTTCGACGTTTTATTCATTATTAAATATTAAATAAGAACTTCTTTGGTACGGCCTCCGCGTCCAAGCTTTCCTCCTCGGCAGTCGTTCACCTTGCTAGTATCTGCGTGCAGTTAAAAAAACTACACGCTCAGCAAAGCTGAGTGGCAAATAACCAATAGACATATATAACATGTAAACATATTTTTGAGCATTTTAGGGTTTTCATGTTTTATGAGCCTTTTTGCATAATTACAAATCATTAAGTAAATAATCTCACTTTGAGAAGTTACTTGGGGACATTTAGAAAACACTTGACCTACTAGGTTAACCACAGATTAGAAACTAAGCCGTGACTAGGCTGGAACACCGCACTAGTCAAATCGTAGTTTTACTTCGGATACCTCCCCGTGACCTCGGGTCTGGTAATCAGAAGTGAACCCTAGACCCACGGGGTCATCGTTGGGTTCTCGTGCGCACGTTGTAGTATGATTATTTATAGGCTCATCCACATGGACACGGTCCGGCCTTGAAACATGTGGTTTGACCCACTTGATAAACGTGACAATACCTGGTCAGGGTACGTCGTTAAAAGAACTTTAACGTTTTTACTTCGTCTACTAACTATTTGGTTAACGCTAATATGGTCATTAACAAAATACACTTTTGATAACTTCAACCATAAACACTTTCAAAATCCTTAGTCGGTGTGCGTCCCCTTGTGTCCAAAACGTTTAGTTGTCGCCAAACCAATAAAACATCACTCAAATTTTTAGTGAATAAACATTTTCAAGTCAAAATCTGAAAAATGAACTACAACTTTTAGTTTTCAAATATACGTATGTATACTCACCCTTTATATACATATAAAATCAATTGTGCTAAGTTCTAAATTTTACTATTTTACCACTGTAATCACTCTTTTAACTCTAATTGCTAAGTTGTAAACCTAGTTATTTACTATGTTTGGCCTTTACTTGTAAACATTATATTTTTTTTATTATACAAAAAAAATAGATAAAATCACTTATTTATTTCTTTTAGCTTCGGCCATAAATACAAATAACACTACTTATTAATTGTCAGTATTATTATTAATCCTATTTTCATTATATGCTCGGTCAATAATCATCACAACACAAAAAAAATGTAGATCCTTAATATTTTTTCCTTATATTACCCAATTTGATATTTTGGACCTACATATCAATTTTCCCTTTCTTTTACATTTTTTTTACAGTGAGCCGAATTGAGAGAAGGGAAAAAAAATGACTTCATCATTACTTTCTTCTAACACAAAACTGTGGCATGGTTTTTTTCACCTTTTTTTTATGGATTACGTTTCTCCTGTTTTTTTTCCAAAGGTAGGCTAATACGGATATTTTGTTTGATGCTTAACTTCGTATTCTTTTTTTTCTTTATATAACAATTGATAGATTTGGATTATTACAAAAAGAAAATAAAATAAAATACACAAAAATATATCAACATAAAATATATGTCTAAAGGTTGGGGTCAACGGCACACCTTCGATATTGGGTAGACAAAACACTAGCTTGATGATGTTGACGGAATGATTTCATGACGACATCTCCCACGTCGATCTCCACCTTGACTATACCGCAAACCATTTTTACACACCTATCAACCCTTTTTTTTGTTGTTTTTTTAAATTTTACCCTCAAGTGGCTATGAGTTTCTCTTCCTAAGGGTCCTTATTTATAAGAAGGAAAGAAAGTTCTAGAGAATGAATGGGAAGTGAAGGGTTGCACAATAAACTAAAGAATTTAGTAAATTTTATTAAATAATATATTATTACTAATGTAATAATTGTTGAAATAAATTTTGTAACCCCATTGTTAAAGATGGTGAAGAGACGTGATTTTGAGTAGGAAATCCAAGGGTTTCCTGCTCTGTTTGTTTAGCATTATGTGTCTGATTTCCACAGTTTCATTTATTAAATATTCCCAGAAAAATATAAAATTTATACCGTTAAGTTCCATATTTTTCACACATCATTTTAACATAATTTGTTTATCAAGAAAATAGGTTCACTTGAACAAACAATATTATTCAGATAGTAGAGAACAAAGACTAATTTTATTCCCTTTCACTTTATTCTATTATTTCCATCTCCACTAGTAATTAATCACTTAACATTTAAATTCCAAATTGATTGTTTTTTTTTAGATAAATAAAAGTAACATTTTTTTTTAAAATACTACTCATTTCTTTGTACTAGAAGGTTAAAATTTCTAGGCCAGTTTTCAGGGCGTTATATTTCTCTCCCCCTTAAGAGAAATTTCGTCCTCGAAATTTGTATAAGATGCACAAATAGTTTTTTTTCCTTTTGATTAATATCACATGTAAAATTCCGGCATTTATTTACTCGTTCAAATAGAGTATTAAAAATGTTCAGTCAACTTGAGTTAAGAGGGCTCGTAAATTTTGGCATTCATATACTCGTTTCCAATACTCACGCATCTCAACGTAAATTATCTTCTCTTAACTCTTGATCACCATGTACCATTTCATCCACGAGTGATTCTATGGCAGACCTAAGGTCTACATGGACCTTCTCACACAATTTTCTTTTTAATTTTTTTTAAATCCTTATTTCAATACTTAAAATGCTTAATCAGCAAATATGATGCCCCACCCTGCACCTAAAGTACATATATAATGATTTTGCCTTGATTAGATTCTTGGAATATTGGTTTTTTCATAACTCATTACATTTTTTTGTCATTATATAGTGTCCATGTTTATGCTCCTACGTAACAAAGTAATTAATTAGTTTTACTTCTTCTCTTTTTTTTAAACTTATTATTACTATTATTATTTCTTCTGCTAAAAATTTGGTCAATTCTCAGGTTGATCTCACCTAATGTCTTTAGAGGATATACTATATATTTTAAGAAAGTAGAATGGTGATGATTTTAAAATTAAGCCTATAATATTTTCTATTACATACATAAATTAAAAGTTAAATTAGTTTTAACCCCATTATTTTTCAGATCCTTTGTTTTAACTAATGTATGTGTATCCATCTACTCCATGTTAATTTCCAATTTGATTTACCAAATAAAGCCAGATAAATACTCTTACTTTCTAATGGAAGTTTATCCTCAAAAGCATAATTAGCCAAATACCTTTTTTTAAGTGTCATTCCCCGGTAATCAAAAGTGAACTCTAGACCCACGGGGTCATCGTTGGGTTCTCGTGCGCACGTTGTGGTATAATTATTTATAGGCTCATCCACATGGACACGGTCCGGCCTTGAAACATGTGGTTTGACCCACTTGATGAAACGTGACAATACCTGGTCAGGGTACGTCGTTAAAAGAACTTTAACGTTTTTACTTCGTCTACTAACTATTTGGTTAACGCTAATATGGTCATTAACAAAATACACTTTTGATAACTTCAACCATAAACACTTTCAAAATCCTTAGTCGGTGTGCGTCCCCTTGTGTCCAAAACGTTTAGTTGTCGCCAAACATAAAACATCACTCAAATTTTTAGTGAATAAACATTTTCAAGTCAAAATCTGAAAACGAACTACAACTTTTAGTTTTCAAATATACGTATGTATACTCACCCTTTATATACATATAAAATCAATTGTGCTAAGTTCTAAATTTTACTATTTTACCACTGTAATCACTCTTTTAACTCTAATTGCTAAGTTGTAAACCTATTTATTTACTATGTTTGGCCTTTACTTGTAAACATTATATTTTTTTATGATACCAAAAAAATAGATAAAATCACTTATTTATTTCTTTTAGCTTCGGCCATAAATACAAATAACACTACTTATTAATTGTCAGTATTATTATTAATCCTATTTTCATTATATGCTCGGTCAATAATCATCACAACACAAAAAAAAATGTAGATCCTTAATATTTTTTCCTTATATTACCCAATTTGATATTTTGGACCTACATATCAATTTTCCCTTTCTTTTACATTTTTTTTTACAGTGAGCCGAATTGAGAGAAGGGGAAAAAATGACTTCATCATTACTTTCTTCTAACACAAAACTGTGGTATGGTTTTTTTCACCTTTTTTTTATGGATTACGTTTCTCCTGTTTTTTTTCCAAAGGTAGGCTAATACGGATATTTTGTTTGATGCTTAACTTCGTATTCTTTTTTTTCTTTATATAACAATTGATAGATTTGGATTATTACAAAAAGAAAATAAAATAAAATACACAAAAATATATCAACATAAAATATATGTCTAAAGGTTGGGGTCAACGGCACACCTTCGATATTGGTTAGACAAAACACTAGCTTGATGATGTTGACGGAATGATTTCATGACGACATCTCCCACGTCGATCTCCACCTTGACTATACCGCAAACCATTTTTACACACCTATCAACCCTTTTTTGTTGTTTTTTTTTAAATTTTACCCTCAAGTGGCTATGAGTTTCTCTTCCTAAGGGTCCTTATTTATAAGAAGGAAAGAAAGTTCTAGAGAATGAATGGGATGTGAAGGGTTGCACAATAAACTAAAGAATTTAGTAAATTTTATTAAATAATATATTATTACTAATGTAATAATTGTTGAAGTAAATTTTGTAACCCCATTGTTAAAGATGGTGAAGAGACGTGATTTTGAGTAGGAAATCCAAGGGTTTCCTGCTCTGTTTGTTTAGCATTATGTGTCTGATTTCCACAGTTTCATTTATTAAATATTCCCAGAAAAATATAAAATTTATACCGTTAAGTTCCATATTTTTCACACATCATTTTAACATAATTTGTTTATCAAGAAAATAGGTTCACTTGAACAAACAATATTATTCAGATAGTAGAGAACAAAGACTAATTTTATTCCCTTTCACTTTATTCTATTATTTCCATCTCCACTAGTAATTAATCACTTAACATTTAAATTCCAAATTGATTGTTTTTTTTTAGATAAATAAAAGTAACATTTTTTTTTAAAATACTACTCATTTCTTTGTACTAGAAGGTTAAAATTTCTAGGCCAGTTTTCAGGGCGTTACAAAAGTAGTTTATTTAACATAGTAGTTTATTACTTGCATGTAATAGGGTTTTCATAGGTGAGCGGTCAATAAGCTCGTTCAAGGGTTTTCTTTTCGGTTCTTTCCCTTGACGCCTTTGTTGAACCGACTGGATAGTTAACCTAGTTCTAGTAGGATTGGGATTCCTCTACTACCTATAAATAGAGGATGTACTTGATCTACGTGGTATCAAATAATAATAATCTAAATCCTAAAACCTCTTGGAGTACGAAGGCACTTGAAGTCCTTCAGCCTTACGTTTCATGTATCATTGTGCTCTCGTTGAGAGGAAATCATGACCGAAGCATCGTCCACAACTACTAAGCTCGACGCTAGGGTTCGAGAGATGGGACACGCCATGGTGTAGATGCAAAGGGACCTGGAGTTCCGCTTCCAGCGGCTGGACACCACGCTGACAACGGTCACCAATCTTCAGACCGGATGAGGCGGCAGGACGGGACGACAGTTTGAGCACCCTGACGGCAACCGAGGAGGAGGATATCAGACGCCGAAGCCAAAATTGGAGCCGCCAAAAAGTGACGGTTTGGAACCATTGCGCTGGCTGTACCAAGTGAAAGAGTACTTTGCCTACTACGAAACCCCGTCAGAAGAGAGATTGCGTTGTGTCACTATGATGTTAGAAGGCCCAGCTGCGGATTGGTTCCGTTGGAGGCAAAACAATGGCTTGATTGAGGACAGGGAGGATTTCGTCCGCAAGTTGAAACTCCGGTTCGACCCACTCCACTACGTGGATTATGTCGGCCAATTGGCTCGCATCCCGCAGGTTGGGGGAGTCATGGAGTACCAGGCGGCTTTTGAGAAGGTACTGACCCATGTTACAGATGTGCCGGAACCCTACCTCCAATCCTTATTTCAAGTGGGTCTGAAGAATGACTTACAACATGAAATTAGCCTGCTCCGCCCGGCTACGTTATCGGAATCCTTCGCCTTAGCACGCGAGTTGGAAGCTAGACATCACGCCATCGTGCAATCAGTAGGGATGATGAGTTCATCTTGGGGATCCAATTCGAGCCGCAGTAACCCTAATCGGATCGCACCCGAGGGGTCTGTGGGGTCGGTGACCAAACCGGGTCCTACGGGAAGTGGGAGCAAGCCCAACGCCAACGGGTGGGAATCCTCTACGACAACCCCTATAAGGCGACTCACCCGAGCGGAAAGAATGCAGAAGGACGCAAAGGGGCTCTGTTACAACTGTGATCAAAAGTGGCATAAAGGACACAAGTGTAGAAGGTTCATCTTGATCATGGGGGATGACGAAGGAGAGGAAGAAGAGGAAGAACCAGACGAAGAGATTGAAGTGGCAGCAAACATCTCAAGCCTAAACAGCATGGTCGGTGTCACCACACCCCGGTTTTTACGTCTAACGGGTCGAAGAGAGCAACATAGATTGGATGTGTTGATCCACGGGGGAAGTACACATAACTTCGTCCACCCCCGGGCCGTAAAAAAATTGGGGCTGAGCATCGAACCGGTCACCGCCTTCAGGGTGTACGTGGGGAACGGGGACGCGTTGTGTTGTAACCAACAATGCCGAGGGGTATCACTGGAGCTCCAGGGCACGTCTTTCACAGTGGACCTCTATGTCCTTCAAATCCATGGACACGACGTGGTCCTCGGCGTTCAATGGCTGAGGTTGTTGGGCCGCGTCCTACACGACTACGACAAGGTAACGATGGAGTTCACATGGGGCGAACATCAAGTCACCCTGCATGGAGACACGCCACACACCAAACCCACGTCATTGCTTCACTTGCGAGCTTTGCATGCAAGGCGGGAAGTCTATGCTGGAGTTATCCTCGTGACAGTCAAGGAGGGGATCGAGACGGGGGGTGGATCTGGCAACGAGGAAGAGGGGCTGCCGAAGGAGATGGTGGAGCTTCTGGCGAGGTACAAGGAAGTCTTTCAGGAGCCACAAGGACTACCACCACACCGGACCGCCGACCACCGAATCTTCGTGCAACCCGGCGTGGCCCCGGTGAACGTACGAGCATATCGATACCCACATTTTCAGAAGGCGGAAATAGAGACACAAGTGAAACAGATGCTCAACCAAGGCCTTATACGACCCAGTGGGAGCCCTTTCTCATCGCCGGTACTGCTTGTGCGCAAAAAAGATGGGACTTATCGGTTCTGTGTGGATTACCGCGCCCTAAACACCGTAACAGTTTCTGATCACTTTCCAATCCCCAAGGCCGATGAATTATTCGATGAGTTAGGGAAAGCCCAGGTGTTTTCAAAATTTGATCTACGGTCAGGATACCACCAGATACGGATGAACGACATGGACATACACAAAACGGCTTTCCGAACGCATGAAGGACATTATGAATTCTTGGTCATGCCGTTCGGCCTCACGAATGCACCCTCTACCTTTCAAGCCTGCATGAACAACCTATTCGCCCCTTACCTCCGGCGCTTCATAATCGTGTTCTTCGATGATATATTAGTCTACAGCCTGTCGAAGGAAGAACACTATCAACACTTGGAGCAGGTCTTTAATATCGTCACGAGCATCCGTTTCTATGTTAAGCGTACAAAGTGCGTCTTCAGGACGTCACACGTGGAGTACCTGGGCCACATCATCACGAACGGGGTCTTAAAGGTCGACAAGGCCAAGATATCTGCTATGGAGCAGTGGCCGAGACCCTCTACCATGTGCTAGCTAAGGGGGTTCCTCGGACTCACAGGGTATTACCGCCGATTTGTCAAAAATTATGCATAGATCGCGGCACCCTTGACGGATCTACTAAAAAGGGATGCCTTTGTGTGGAATGAGAAGGCCGAAAATGCCTTTGACAAATTGAAGAAAGCTATGACAATGACCCCGGTTTTGCGGCTACTGGATTTCTCGGAACAATTTGTGGTGGAAACAGACGCTTCCGGGACGGGAGTGGGTGCGGTCCTTCTCCAACGGGAGCAGCCAATAGCATATTTCAGCAAAAAATTGAACCCGAAGCATCTCATGGCATCGACTTATCACAAGGAGTTATTTGCAATTGTCGAGGCAGTCTAGAGGTGGCACCAATATCTCTTAGGGCGGGAATTTTTGATCCGGACCGACCACCAGAGCTTACGAGAATTACTACAACACGTGGTGCAAACACCGGATCAGCACTTCTACGTCCAGAAACTCTTGGGATATCGGTTCAAAATCAAATACAAGCCGGGAGCATCCAACAGGGTAGCGGACGCGCTCTCACGAAGGAAAGAACCGGAGCTGGAGGGACACCAGCTCATGACCATCTCGACGCCAGTACCCGATCTACTGGAGGAGCTGCGTAGAGAAAATACTACCCACCCAGACCTCACGGCCAAACATGCAGAGCACATGCAAGGACAATTAGCCAAACCCTACTCGGTGGCGGACGGATTACTCTATTATAGGTGGAGGCTGTGTGTTAGTTCGACATCGAACTTGCGGCGTCAACTCATACGGGAACATCACGACACACCCCACGCTGGACACCCGGGAATACACTGCACCTTCTTACGGCTCGCCCAGAGTTTTTATTGGCCGAGGATGAGAACTGATGTCAAGGAGTATGTCCAACAATGCCACATGTGTCAGACCACTAAATATTCCACACAACTGCCCGCTGGGTTATTGCAACCGTTACCTGTACCGGCGCAAGTGTGGGAAGACATTTCCATGGATTTCGTGGTTGGCTTACCACCGTCCAGGGGATACACGGTGATAATGGTGGTAGTGGATCGTCTGACGAAGGTTGTTCACTTGGGGGCCTTACCCACCGGGTTCGACGCACACCGCACGGCCCATCTATTCATTGATATTGTCGTCAAGCTTCACGGCTTTCCAAATACGATTGTATCGAACAGGGACCGTGTATTCCTTAGTAATTTTTGGAGAGACAAGTTGAAGGCCAGCGGTACCACCTTGGCTATGAGCACGGAATTCCACTCCCAAACGGATGGGCAAATGGAGGTGATGAACCGAGCAATGGAGCAATACTTACAGGTGTTTGCGCAAGACAAACCGTCCCGCTGGACAGTCTTATTACCCTGGGTTGAGTATGCCCTCAGAACTAGCGTCCACGCCAGCTTGCAGATGACACCATTCGAAGCACTATATGGACACCCACCACCGACGTTCCTACCTTACAAACGCGGGGATAGCAAGGTACCGGAAGTTGATAATTTTTTGCATGAGAGGGACACCCTCTTACGGTGGCTGAACACCCTCTTACGGCGGCTGAGGGAAAATTTGAAGGAGGCGCAGCAACGGATGGTGCTTACGGCCAACAAACACTGACGAGATTTACAGTTCAAGGAAGGTGAATGGGTGTTACTGAAGCTACAGCCGTACCGCCAACACTCCGTAGCTCGGCCCAAATCACAGAAGTTGGCTAGGAGATTTTACAGGCCGTTCCGGGTGTTGGCCCGTGTCAGGGAGGCGGCATACAAACTGGAACAACCAGAGGGCTCGAGAGTCCATCCTGTGTTTCACGTATCCCTCTTACGGCGCTATTTTGGGAGCTTACCAGCGCAAGGACAACTAACGCTCCTGGAGGAATTCGTGCATGGCCAGCCTATCTCGACACCGGTACGTGTTCACACCGAACGGTTTGTGTTGATACGTGGCCAGGCAGTCAGGCAGTGGCTCGTAGAGTGGTCCGACGGGGACCGTGACGACACGACTTGGGAACCATACGACAAAATCCAGCAGCATTTTCCCTCACTACACCTTGAGGATAAGGTGTTTTCCCAAGAGGACGGGAATGTGACGAATGGGTTGCGAGAAGAGTCCGGGGCTACACAGCGGGGAGGCACAGTGCGAAGGGGGCAGCGGGCGAGAAGAGTTCCAGCATGGCAGGAAAACTACGTACTAAAGTAGTTTATTTAACATAGTAGTTCATTACTTGCATGTAATAGGTTTTTCGTAGGTGAGCGATCTATAAGATTCTTCAAGGGTTTTCTTTTCGGTTCTTTTCCTTGACGCCTTTGTTGAACCGATAGAATAGTTAACCTAGTTCTAGTAGGATTGAGATTCCTCTACTACCTATAAATAGAGAGTGTACTTGATCTACTTGGTATCAAATAATAATAATCTAAATCCTAAAACCTCTTGGAGTACGAAGGCACTCGAAGTCCTTCAACCGTACGTTTCACGTATCAGATGTGCGCTGGTAGCTACTGACGTCTTTGAAGAAGAAAGAAGGTTGGTGTGTGTTTGTATAGTAGATGCTGACGTCGAAGAAGGATAGAGAAGGCTATCGAAGGTGCTTGTTTGATTGAAGATCCTTAACATTCTTTGTCTTTTTCTTGGATCTAGGCAATGCCCAGTTTCTTTTCTCAATTGAAAAAAATTGTATGACTTTCTTGAAGAGGTCAGTTTTGAGGTTTTCCTTCCTCTTTCTCTATTTCTCCTCTTGGCTTTTTTTTTATTTTGTTTTACTTTGGGGTTTTTATTGGTTCAACAAAAGAGAAATAAAATGGAGATTGATGTTTTTATTACTATTGTCTAACAGAAACTGTGGATATCAGACATGTAATACTAAACAAATGGAGTAGGAAACCTTTGGATTTCCTACACAAAATCGCGTCCCTCACCATCTTTAATAAATGGGGTTACAAAACTTACTTCATCAATTATTACATTAATATATTATATAGTAATTTAGTTAATAATTTATTTAATTAATTATTCACCCCTTCACCTCCCCTCACATTCTAGAATTTTCCATGCTCCCTATAAATAGCATCCCTTATGAGGAGAGGCTCATGACCACTTGAGAGAGAGAGAGAGAAATAAAGATATAGGTTTAGAGTGTGAGTTTGTAAAAAAGGGGTATTTCGGCATTATCAAGGGATATAGAGAGACATGGGAGTTGTGGTCACGAAATTTTGTCAACGTCGTCAAGCTATCGTTTTGTCAAACATATATCGAAGGTGTGTCGTTGACTTTAACTTTTAGATATATATTTCATGTCTATATGTTTTTGGGGATTTCATTTTTTTACAACCTAAATCTGGTAAATGCTGTATACATAAAAAATATGTATTCAAAACTTTTGTCTAGTAAGCATGTACTACTTGGTTGTCCTTTGAAAGGAAGAGAAAAAAGTTTTGTGCAGACATGATAAGGAAAAAAGAAAAATTAAAAACATATGCACATTCAATTTGAGAAAAAACACATTACTAATGGATGGTAAAAGAATAATAATATCATTATGAAGATGTTTTTTTATTTCATACAATTTGGTCGAACAAATAATAATAAAAAACAAACAAACTTGAACAGAAAGAACATTTAGTTAAAAAAACTTTTTTTTATTGTTAATTATAACTGCTTTATACTTGTTATGTACTATGTAACACAGAGTAGTATGTAAAAAAGGGCAAGTATTGTTATAAGGCTAATGAGATAAACCACAACATGAGCCAAATTGAGATACTTTTAGCCTAATGAATTCTGTTTCATTTATTTGTTTTTGTTTCAAACCGTAAGTGCCCATAACAAAAAAAACTAAAATTGGTATTCTTGTTGTGAAATTTGCACTAAATAGGACTAAAACATAATGACTTTCCCAATGTAGGACTTGAACTTTTTTATTTCCTAAATAGGACTTAATAATGACCTAGTGGGAGGAATAATGTCCAGTAATGATGGACATTTACTTGAGTAATGACTAGTTTATAATGACCAAAGGTCCTACATTGGGAAATAAAAACATATGGTCCTATATTGGGAAAGTCATTATGTTTTAGTCCTATTTAGGTAGATTTATGTAAACGACTATACTAGGGTTAACCGAATAGTTAGTGGAAAAAGTAAAAATTTCAAGATTTATCTTAATGATGTAACCTAACCAGGTATTGTCATGTTCTAGTAAGTAAATCACATCACTTTTAAAGGTCGGATCGTATGTATCCAAGTGGATGAGCCTACAAATAATCATACTACAACGAGTGCACGAGAACCCGATGATGACCCCGTGAGTCTAGAGTTCACTTCTAATTACTAGACCCGAGGTCACGAAGAGGTATCCGAAGTTAAACTATGTATCGGCTAGTGCAATATTTCAGCCTAGTCACGACTTAGCCTCTAATTTATGATTAACCTAGGAAGGTCAAGAGTTTTATAAATGTTCCCAAGTAACTATTTTAAAGTGAGAGTACTTTCCAAATGGTTTAAAGTATGTGAAAAGTTTTTGAAATTCAGTAACTCAAAATACTCTAAAATATATTTGCATGTTATATATTGGAGAAAACATTGTCCTCGAATTGTTATGAGAAGCGAGAGCCATTATTATGTATTTTCAAATGTTACTTTTCTCGGTACCAATATACGTTTAGCCAAGCAAAGCTATCTTTCTATATATATATATACACACACACGGCCTGTCCATAATTAATTGCATTAATGGCTTGGATTGTAAAAAATATAATTGATTTGCTTTATGGAGCCACACCACTTTAATTTACTTTATGGAGCCACACACCACTTTAATTTACTTTAGGAGTGATTGGACAACTTTTAACATTGATTAGACCACACATTAATAACCCCATCAAGACCCGTCCCATAGGCCCTGATGGTGTAAGTACCGTGCAAATATTAAATATTAAGTGTAAACGAGCTTAAGGGTTGTAGGTGGGAACACCTGTAACCCGGTTTGTTATTAATGAAAGTAGGACTATTACAAAGTACAAGCCCTGTAGGTTAATTAAAGCATGCCTCACAAATGAGGCTTTTAGTCCTATTTATAATAATCTCTAAGCACGTCAAGCACGTCTTTGTTGATCCGGCCGGTCAGCTCCCTGACCGGTCAGTTTGTATGCCTTCGCCAGACGAAGCCATGTCTATGATTTTGGACCTTCTCACCCCCGACCGGTCAGACTGCCCGGGTCGACTAGGTCATGGGGTGTTGGTTTTGATACCTCCCGGTCGGTCCGAACCTACCGGGTGGAATCCATGGGTTATTACCCATCAAAGAGTCCTCCGATTCCCGGCTCTGTGGGTACCATCAGGGGCGGGAAGCATATGCGAGCATCTTTTCAAATTTCAACTTTCGGGTGGTTTTAGCGGGAAAACGACACTTGTAAACTAGCGCCAAAACAAATATATTTGAAATTTGAATTTTGAAATCCCGGGCGTCAAACGTAGGGGAATCCTTATTGGAATCAGGTACGGCGCCGCCGATTTGTCACGCCGTTTCGTCTTCCTGAGAAGTTATCATTACGAATCATTTCGGCTGCCATGTGTCACTCCCTTATTCGTCCGGCTGGGCGGCACCTCCCCTATATAAAGCGAGGTTCCCCACCGAATTTTCTCACTTGCAGTTTGCTATTCTAAAAATCTACCCGGTTGCTACTACTGTCTCTCGAGTCCTCCGAGTCTTCTAGTCTCAAGTAAGTTTCCTTTTTTCCTCCTTATTTCTTTGAGTCATGTCTGACCACGAGGATAGCTAGAACCCTTTCGTTCATTCTTACGGTTCTAGTGCCTGGTCTCAGACCTCCAGTCCCCAGTCCTCTTCTTCTTCTGAGCGCCCGACTGCTTCTCCACAGAAGAAGCTGGTTGATGCTTCCACTTGTGCCCCTTCTACAAGCGCGGCACAAGTGGTCTCGGTTGCCCGATTGCTCCAAGAGCAACCGTCGTACATGCAGAAAGCTCAAGTCCACAAGCTGCGCAATCTCATGCCGGATGGATATCAACTGTCCTACCAGGCGACGTGGAAGAACATTATCTCTCTCCACACCGGTACGACGATTGGTATCCATTACCATTCCATCAAGGACTTGGGTGAATTTTCCATTCACCCCTTCAAAGTCCTTTTCTTTGAAACCTACGGGATCATGCCCGAGCAGTTGGCCCCAAATGGTCACCGTATGTTGAGTTCCTTCATCAATGTTTGTCTCTTTCTACGCATCCCTCTTTCTCTTCGTCTTTTTGACCACATGTTCGATGTCCGGCCCGGGTCCAAGGAAACCCTTGGATTCGTGATCGTGTCCTCCCACCAGGGCCGGGCATTCCTCTCGGGCCTTCCTCCTTCTAACAGGGGTTGGAAGGACAAATATGTCTCTATCAAGTTTCCCTCGAGTGCTTTTCCTTTCGCCCAAAATGCCTGGGGGAAAGGATGAAAGCCTAGGGAGACTGATGACCTGGCTGCCTGGGAAGCCACCCTCCGAACCGGGGACACCTCAACCCGCGGCCCCTATAACGTTGGGAAGTGGGGGGTCTACCCGGGTCGGGAGACTGACCCTGAACCAGAGATCGTTCTAGAAGAGACGATCCCAGACGCCATTCCTCTCTGCCGCGTGCAAGGGTCTAATGCCCCGGTTTCTGCCGTCGCCGGTTCCTCGCGCCGGGGGAAGAAGAAAGAGAAAGGTCAAACCCTATTTCCTCTCTTAATTTGCCTGTATTTTTTGTTTTCCAACTCCCTTTCACTAACCGGTCTCTGTTTAATTGTTGCAGTAGTGAAGTTCAACTCCAAGTTTGCCACCCCCCGCATCGAGGATGTGGAGGAGCCATCAACGCCCAGCCTTTCAGCCAGCCGCTGACATTGGATGAGTAGCCAGCCCAGTCCCATCAGGGCACCAGCCAACCAATCCACTCCGGCGATATCTATATCAACGTAGATACCATGGAGTTTGATAACATGCTGATGGAGACCGGTCATACATCAGAGGCCGGTCTGGGAGGCCAACAAACTGAGGGAGGTGGTGGCGAAGAAGAGGCTGCCGAGGAGGCCCTTCAGAAGAAGATGCGGAGGACCCAGACTCGTCTCCGATGCTGGCAAAGGGCGCGGCGAGCCCCGATCGTTTGCTCTGATGGTCCGGTCAGATGAGGAGCTCTTCCAAGCCTTCTGCTCCGATTTGCAAGAGGTAACTCCCCAATCCTTCTCACATTTCTATCATAATATTTCTAGAACCATCTCTCTGAAACATCTTTTTTTCTTTGAAGCAAGTCGTCCGGATCGGCTAGGAATGGTTTACTCGGCTCGTCAAATCCAAAGACGAGGAGAAGGCCCGACTCGAAGGGATCTGATAGCAAGGCCTTTTCTTTATTATTTTTTGTTTTATTCCTGGATGTAATGATAAGCCTCCGGGAAATTTTGTAAAACATTTTGATTTTAATGTTCTCATTTCATATTATGTGTTGAGTACCTGATTACTTTAAATGATTTGTACAACTTCAAATTCATCGCCGGGTAGATTATCTTTAAACAGTCCGGCTGTAGCTACCCGGTCTAAATTCAAAATTCACCCAAGTCTTTTTGGAAGACTCAGTGGGTGACCGATGGGAGATGGGATCCGACCGATCTCTTCCCCAAACGGTTTTCTACCCAAGGGAGTCAAATTTACCATGTCCTTTCCGAAAGGATGGTTTTCTACCCGGGTGTAAATGAAACCGGCTTATCTTTCACATTGGCTTTCCGCCTGTGTTGAAAGATAAGCCTTGCATCTTTGATTGTTTGACCCAACCAAGCCGGGATGCTCTCCCTTTTTGGTTACGTCATTTGATTCCGTGTCAATACGGGTGAAGAGTTTGACCGGTTCGACTGGTCGTTCTTCTCTTTTTTTTTCTTTTTTTGGGATGTCCAATTCGATTGAACATCTAACCGGTCAGATTGGCCAGCGACCAATTTCCGACTGGTATTAAGAACATCCTTTCTGAAAAGAATAGAGTTTTATTCATGACCGAGAACACGTTACATTTTATCTAAAAAATTTGAGCAAGTGGTGAGAATTCCAATGTCAGTCAACTCGTCCACCCTCCATGGTCTCAAGCTGATAAGTACCCGGTCGGATGATCGCCCTAATGCGATACGGTCCTTCCTAGTTACGCACTAGCTTGCCTCTTTCATTGGGCTTACTGGCATCCCTTCTTCGTAAGACTTCCTTGTGCACTTGGAAGTAACGTGGACCAACCCGGTTATCATGATATCTCTTTACTGATTGCTGATAACCGGCCATTTTGACAGCTGTCATCATTCTCCGCTCCTCCACTAGATTCAACTCAGCCATGTGGTCGGCCACGTTCCTGCCGGGTTGATACACGGCTTCTCTAAATGTTGGGAATTCTGCCTCGATTGGTAACCGGGCTTCACATCCATAAGTGAGCACGAACGGCGTCTCCCCCATTGCTCTCCTAGAAGTCACCCTATGTGCCAAGACCGTATGAGGCAGTGCTTCCAGCCATTTGCGCCCCTCTTCACCCAACCTCTTCGTTAGTCCGTCCACTACCGTCTGGTTAGCATTTTCAACTTGGCCATTTCCTTGGGGGTACGCTATAGACACCTTGTTGTGCTTGATCCCAAAACTGGCCAAATATGCTATGAACCGGGGATTGCAAAACTGTGGGCCGTTATAGTTACAATTCAATCATCTTCGGTGAGCCAAACCGGGTGATAATGTTCTTCCAAACGAACTTCTCACATTGCCGCACGGTTATGCTGGCCATTTCCTTGGCCTCTACCCACTTTGTGAAGTAATATATGGCGACCATCACGAACTTCTTCCCGCCTTGCGCAGCCGGGAACGCCCCAATAATGTCAATCCCAAACCGGGCAAAAGGTATGACATTAGAGGTTGGTTGATAGTATGTAGCCGGCCGTCCGGGATGTTTGTAAAAGACTTGGCATGTCCTACATATTTGCACATACCTTTTACAATCTCTAACGATGGTCGGCCAATAATAGCCGAGCAAAATTATCCTTTGGGCCAGTGTACGAGACATCTGATGGGCAGCACAAACTCCCTCGTGTACCTCGGCTATCACCCGTTCTGCCTCCGGGTTGGTGAGGCAACGTAGTAGAGGCCCTCCGATAGCACGTTTGTATAAGTGACCGTCTAGAACCTGAAACTGGGGAGCCCGCAACACTACCTTCCTAGCCCGCTCCTCGTCGTCCGGTTTCTAGCCAGTCATCAAGTATTCCATGTGGTCGTATCTCCACTCATCATCCACTTCAATCACTCCTTTAGCCGAGCTCTGACCTTGCTGGACAGCTACGACCTCCAACCGGTCAGCACTCGGTTCGTCCAATATCTCAATTTTAGCCAACTTTGATACATGCTCCAGACAAGCTTGCATCAACTTGGAAAGCAAATCAGCATCATTGTTTTCTGACCGAGGTATTCTAGTCAAGCAGAATTCCTCCAACTCTCTCAAAAGAGCTCGGACTAGATCACTATACCGGGAGAGACGTTCTTCTTTCACCTCCATTTCTCCATTAACTTGTCCGACAACCAGGCTTGAATCAGACCGGATTTTCCTCCTCTTGATACCCAGTGCCCGGGCTAATCTGAGCCCACCGGCCAATGCCTCGTATTCTCCCTCGTTGTTGGTAAGTTTGAAGTTAAACACCAAGGCATGGAAAACCTTGAATCCTTCAGGAGTAGTAAAAACTATCCCGGCCCCGCATCCCTTCGGCCTGGAAGCCCCATCAACGACCATGTCCCACCACGGTTTGACCGTATGGGATGGTCCCGCCTTAGGTTCCAGACCGGTTAGTTCAACTAGGAAATCGGCCAGGGCTTGGCCCTTTATCGCAGTTCTAGGCTTGTAATCAATTTTGAACTAGGCGAGCATCATTGCCCACTTGATCATCCTTCCTGAAGAAGTTGAGTTGCGGAGGACTGGTCCAAGTGGCTGATCAGTCAGCACTTCTACCGCGTGAGCTTGGAAGTATGCGGTTAGTTTTTTGACTGTTATAAAAAGTGCATACGCTGTTTTTTCAATTGCAGTGTACCTGCTTTCTGCCCCGTTAAGTGCTTTACTCACGTAGTAAATAGGCCTCTAGCCGTCTTCATTTCTTATCCAAACGGAACTTACAGCGTTTTGGGATATGCCCAGATACAAGTACAAAGTTTCACCCAGCTTTGGTTTAGACAAAACTATATCGGAAACTAAGTACTCCTTTAGCTGTTGGAAGGCCTCCTCACATTCCCGGTCCCACTTGAAGGTGTTGGCCTTCTTTAGGACCTTGAAGAAGGGTAAGGCTCTCTCGGATGACCGGGATAGGAAATGGCTCAAAGTTGCCAATCGCCCGGTCAGTCGCTACACGTCTTTTAAGGAACTGGGCGACTGCATCTCAATTATCGCCTTAATCTTCTCTGAGCTCGGCTCAATCCCCCGCTTTGTTACCATGAACCTCAAGAACTTGCCGGTCTTTACAACAAAGACGCACTTCTTGGGATTGAGGTGCAAGTTATATTTGGCCATGATCTCAAAACATAGCCTCATGTCGGCCGGGTGGTTTGCTGCTCCCGAGCTCTTTATCAGCATGTCATCCACATAGGCTTCCATGGATTTACCGAGGAGTGGCTTGAAAATCCGGTTTACCATTCGCTGGTAAGTGGCGCCCGAGTTCTTAAGTCCAAAGGCCATCACCCGGTAGCAATATGTGCCTTCGGAAGTTAGGAAAGAAGTTTTTTCCTCATCTTCCATTGCCATGAAGATTTGATGGTTGCCCTTGAAGGCATCCATAAAGCTCAACAATTCACACCCGGCCGTCTTATCGACCATCTGATCGGGACTAGGCAGTGGATATGAATCCATGGGGCATGCTTTGTTGAGATCTGTGTAATCTACGCACATACGCCAAGTGTCGCCCTTTGGCGCCAAGACGACGTTAGCCAGCCAGGCCGAGTATTAGACTTCCCTGATGTGCCCGACTGCTAACAGATCCTTTACTTCGTTTTTGACAAACTCCCTCCGAACGTTTGCTAAGTGCCTCTTCTGTTGTTTGATAGGCCGGCTACCTTCCATTACAACCAACCAGTGGCATAGAATGGAACGATTAATGCCTGACATATCCGCCACGCTCCAAGCGAATATGTCAGCATATTCCCGAAGGACTAAGATGATCTCCTCTCGAAGTCCCTCGGGTAGGTCCTGGCCAATCCTCTCCATTTTCTCCAGGAATGCCTCTCGGAGAACACTCTGCTCGGTCTCATCACCCGGTTCCAGCTTCGACCAGTCCTCCTCCTGAGAAACCAAGGTGACCCTCTCGAATGCCTTCATCATCTTTTTTACAGCTTCGAGATAACAAGATCGGGATTTCTTTTGGTCTCCTCTGACTTGTCCTAAACCACCCGGTCTATAGAACTTCATGCACAAATGGGCCATGGAAATGATTCAACGGACTTTGTTAATTCTTGGACGGCCCAGGATGGCATTGTGAACACATTTGATGTTCACTACCACAAACCTCATCTGTTTTTGTATAACTTTGTCCCCCGTTCCCAGCTCTCATGTTAAGAGGATTGTCCCTTCGGCTTCAACAGAGTCCCCGGTGAACCCGGATAGGGGAGTTTTCAATGGCTCAAGCCGTGTTCGACACAGCTTAAGTTTCTCAAAGGCCTCCAGGTACAAAATGTTGACACTACTGCCCATGTCGATGAGTACCCGGGAGACATCAACTCCACCCATGTCCATGGTTATGACCAAAGGGTCATTGTGATCTTCCCCGGTGGCAGGAAGATCCCGGTCTGTGAAAGTAATCGGCTCCCGTCTAGTTTGCTTCTGCCGGGGGTTTAAGGCAACTGTACCCACGTAGAGTTCACGCCCCCACTTCTTTCTATGACAAGCAGAATCTCCTCCCTCCGGTCCCCCGTAAATCATCTGTAAGTGCTCCTTACCAGCTGCTTTCTTCTTCTTGTTTTGATCGGCCGGTTGTCCTTCAGGCTGGATCCACTGGTTCTTCTTCTGTTTCGTCTGGGCTAGGTACTCTTGATCGAGTTTCCCGGCCTCGATCATCTGCTTTATCACCCCCTTAACACTGTTGCACTCAGCAGTGTTATGAGAGTCCGTCTTGTGGAAAGAGCAGTACTTTTCTGTCCACTGCTTCTCTCCGGCTGGTTTCTTCTCCGTCTTTCCAGGTTTTACCTCCATCATTTCCGCCTTTACCCTACCGGGTAGTTCAACTTCCTTCTTTATGGTGGTCCGCCCCCTAGGGTGGCCTTGCTCGGCTTCGCTCTTGGAAGAAACCTGAGCCTCAGCATCTGCATAATCCCAAGTCGTGTTGTAGGCCGTGTTGTAGGCCTCTTGGTAGGACTGAGGAGGTCTCCTGCAGAACTCTTTGTACAATTCTCCGGAACGGAGCCTGGAGACCAGGAGGGACATAGCGGTTTTGTCGTCCATCTCCTCCACCTTGTCAACTTCATCCTTCTACCAGGTGAGGAACTTGGTCAGATCCTCGTGCTCCCTCTACCCGGCTGTACTCAAGTAGGTTAATTTTTTCCTCTTGGTACAATTTTCTTTAAACTTCTCCTGGAATACCTCGGCCAGTTCATCGAAAAAATCAATCTCACCGGTCGGGAGGTTATGAAACCACTCGGCGGCTCGGCCACGGAGGATTTGGAAGAAAAGCAAACACTTTTCGTCCCCGGTGAGACCCATGTGCCTCGAATTACTTTCCGCTTCCTCTTCTTCCAGGGGTGGCCGGCTGTGCTGGGGTTCATCACGAGGGGGTGGTTCGGGTCGCCTGGTTCGACCAGGTTGTCTGGCCCCTCTTCCCAGCCGGTCAAAAGCACTCACTGGAATCGTCTCCATCCCCAACCGTTCCTTGGATGGTCGGTTCTGGTTCCTCCCATCGTGTCCCAGTCTCTTGAAGGCTGACCTCCTAGATCCTTTCGGCTAGATTGCCTTGCCTTTCAACCTCTTTTGTGCCTGGGGGACATCCCAGTCTTCGACTTTGCTATTAACCGAACGCACATCCCCGTCTGGCGTTATCCTGGTATGAGACCTTCGGGACCGACTTCTTCGAGACCGGGACAGGCCAACTTTATGCATTTCTCCAACCAGATTCGCCGAAACGACCGGCCGGATTATACTAGTTTGTTGAAATGGTGGGGGGAGCCTAGTCATATTTGTGAAAGGAGCACTTTGGGGCAAGGCTTGTGGATACAGCCCAGGAATGAAGGGGGAAAACCCTCCCGGCTGCTGGAGCATGGACATGAATTGTCCAAAACTTTGCAACGCCTGGGAATACATTGGGTCCATGGGCCCGGGAAAATTTGGAGGAAAAACGGGGATAGAAGTTATCGGGGAAGTGAACGGGGTTGGTGTTGGGATGGTGATTATAGGGGTAGGGATTGGTGTAGTGGGTAGGGTGTTTCCTCCCGGGAGCGACGTTATGTTCTCGCCGGGGGTAGAGATTTGTGAGATGACAGTTTCTTGGTTACTTGTCATGGCTTTTTTGTAATGGGTCCCACGGTCGGCGCCAATTTGATTGTGTAAGTACCGTGCAAATATTAAATATTAAGTGTAAACGAGTGGAAAGGTTGTAGGTGGGAACACCTGTAACCCAGTTTTTTATTAATGAAAGTAGAACTGTTACAAAGTACAAGTCGTGTAGGTTAATTAAAGAATGCCTCACAAATGAGGCTTTTAGTCCTATTTATAATAATCTCTAAGCACATCAAGCACGTCTTTGTTGATCCGGCCGGTCAGCTCCCTGACCGGTCAGTTTGTATGCCTTCGCCAGACGAAGCCATGTCTGTGATTTCGGACCTTCTCACCCCCGACCGGTCAGACTGCCCGGGTCGACTGGGTCATGGGGTGTTGGTTTTGATACCTCCTGGTCGGTGCGAACCTACCGGGTGGAATCCATGGGTTATTACCCATCAGGCCCAATATCGGCCCAGCGTAAATCGGCCCACTCCAGCAGCTCCAAATTGGTGGGAACACTGTTCAAAATACAATCCTGGCATTGTATATAGTAAGATACCAATCACATCCTACTTTAAGCCACGACATCAAAAGTATTTTAAGAAACTCAACACAAAAATATTCCTCCCTTAATTTTCCTAAAATTCAAAATGGGAAGATCTTTTGAAAATTTTATATTGTGTTTTTGTTCGAGTAATATATTTTGTTTGTACATAAATTTAAAAATATTAACAAACATTTTTGAATACTCCGTATTAGTTTGTTATCTTTCATTCCCTTTAGCTTAATTTGTGACATATAAACTAAGTTTCTAAAGCACATTCATTATTTGTTTACTTATTCATTTTCAAGTTTTTTATGTTTGTTTATTTGAATGTATTTTCAATTTTTCAAACTTTTAATGTTTTGTTACATTTTAAAGTGTAAATTAGGCTTGTATGTATTAATCTTGATTTGTACCGAAACTAATAACGAACCAAAATTTTGGAATCGAGATTGGTACAACGTAAAATCTCATGCTGAACTAAAATATTTGGTACGATATTGGTACGAGCTAAATATGTTCATCTTTATCTACAAACTAGTATTTTGACTCGTGCCATGCACAGGGTGGAACAATTTTTTTTTGTTATTTTTCACCGTGACAAAATTTTTCAAATATCAAACAACATAAAACATATAGAATTCGCTAATGAAAATTCTACTATATACAAGTAAAAATTAACATTTCAAATTCTTATTTAAACTAGAATATTTTGAAAATTTTTGAGGTTTACAATATTTTTTGTGAAGTTATAAAGATTACCAAAGACATGTAAAACTTATAATTTCAACTTTATTTTTACTCTCACTTGTGACAAATAATATAAATTTGGCAGTAAGTGAATACCAATTTTGTAAAAATAATATTATTAATGCCAATGTTTGACATTAACGTTTTGTATAATCATGAGTCATGACGAAACATAAGCTACTGAAAATTTTATTCTTTGAAACTTCAAGAGTAATTCTGTATGAAATGATATACGAAATATAATTCATTTATGTTGTGCATATGTAAACCTTCTCTAATGCTTTATTTCTAATACTATTGCGCTGAAGATAATTTCTCACAACTTTCAATGCTTAACCTTGTACTATTATACAATTTAGAGAAAAGGTATATGGTACAACCGGTTGTACCAGAAGTAAGGTATATTCGAGTAGATATCATTCTAAAGTAAAGTAGTACTCATTCTCACACAAATATAAACGTCCATTTTGAAATAACGTAGTACTTATTCTGAAATAACGTAGTACTCATTTTCACACATTTATAGAACACAATTATAAAAATCATTTACGAATAACTTAGTGTTCATTCTGAAATAAAGTGGTGCTCATTCTCAAATTATGTAGTGTTCATTCTCATGTAGCATACCATTCATTATCTTCAAATTTGGAAATATAATTTTATATTCTAATTAAACGTACATTACTCTAAATCACTCCAATCAGCATCGTCATCGACATCTTCATCGATGTGAGCATCAATGATAGTTGGACCTAGGGTTTAAAAACATAGTAAAATTTGAAATAATTGAAGAAGGAAGGAGAAGGAGATGAAATAATAAAAAAGAAAATAAATCTTTAAAGATTGTCACATGTCATTCTCTAAATATTAACACATGTCACTCTCTCAAGCTTGACACATGTTATTCTCTTGTAGCTCAAACTCTTAAATTTATATATAAAGGATGTGTTTGGTCGAAGTTTTTCTACATATATACATGATTTAATTTGTGGTATAGTTCAGATATAGAATATAATATACATACTCTAGAACATTTACGTCTTATCTAATCAACATACTTTTGAATATCACCGAAATTACTTTAATCTGAGGGTGTCACTTCAATTCGTTATTCTATCGCGTCATATTCACATACTCCATACTCGAAATTTCTAACACCATCGTCGGTCACCCAATACCACCGACCACCCATCATGCCTTCGTGTAACGCCACGAAATATGGCCTAAATTTTATTATAAAACAAAAGTAGGTTTGAATATCATTTTTGTCCAATAAGGAATATTTATACGTTTGATCAAAAATGAATGGATTTTAAAAATAATAACTTTTTGTTAAAAACCTATTATTATGGATATGTCTCGAAGAGACGAATCCAACAGTACATTTTATGAACCAATCTGATTTATAGATTTCAAGCTATGACAATTTTAAATATTAAAATTTATTACATTGACCCATAAATTAAACTCAATTCAAAAGAGATTTCATAAGATTAGAAATCTTAATCGTTGACACTTGACAATACCATATTCATCATTTTGATTTAATTCATATATTTTTATCTCGTTCATATTATTAAATTAATTTATGACCGAGACATACCCAAACACTGAAAAATAAAAGTTCTCAAAAAAACATTTTGATTACGTCAAAATTCTAGTTTTGACAGTCTCATTCCAGAAATACAATCCATTTTCAATTCGGAGCAGTTTGGGCGAAAAAGCGCGTACCGTTTGGGAAAAACTGTTCAGTTTGGACTAAAAACCAAACTTAATAATCTCAAATCCCATGCATATCACGGATCAGCCCCTCACTACTCACTAGTCCACCAAAGATAGCCTAGCTTCACTATTTACTCCACTAACATAATACTCCAAGGTTAGATTATATAATACCCCAAAATTTCTCACAATCATCATCATCCTCCACCAACCCATTAATTCCATCTTCCTCTCTTCTTCTCTTCTCCTCCATCCTTTCAAGCAAGTTCTAGCAAGGAGGGGAAACTCATCATCCATAGTTTTGTGCCAAGGAAGGAGAAGGATCAAGAACAAAACCATAGTTTTGTGCCAAGGAGGGGAGTAGTGGCGAGCTCCTCGGATTGGCATATGTTTCTTCACCAAATTCATATTATTTCATTCCAAATACTTACCATAAACTCCCTAACGATTATTAGGAACTTATGGGAGGTATCGTAGAGAAGGTTCGACGTTGGAATATTGAAATTGAGAAGTTGATCGTCGCAACCGTTGTTCACCGGAGTATTCAAAAATCCTGGACAGCAACTGTCCTTTGACTTCAGGTCCGATTTACTCTATCTTACATCTGTTAACTCGATTTACAAAAGTTATAGCCTTACATCTTAGGAATCCATAGAATTAAACGGTTTGCAATTCCGTGAAGAAACAATGGAGATATGATCAAAATACGGCAGGTTGTCTAATTGTGGCGGAAATGACAAAGTTGGTGAATTTCGACATTGTTTTCATTCCCGTTCTTTTGCAAGGTTTTGGCCATTCATTTCCATGTCTGTACCCTTGCGTTAGACTTGTCGAATCATTCATCACATATGTACATGAACATATATATTAATCCATATGTTGAAATAATCCAAAAAATATATATGTGATACATATATAAGTCATCCATGTGTTGAGATCAAAATACACCAAATTCATAAAGTTAATAAATATACATAAACAAATATAAATATTGGAAATCAACCTCACAACATGTATATGTTAATCAAAGGTGTTTAAAAGACTTAAAGAAGTATTTTAAACACCCAAAATATCAAGAGTAAGATTCGCAGACCCAAACGGTCGACGAAAACGGTCGACCGTCGTATTAAACTTCGAAACGGACCACGACTGTCAGTAGAACGGTCGACCGTTGCCAGCCCAGCAGAACGCCGCCTCACTCAGGCTGTCAACAACGGTCCACCGTCTCGGTGATCCGCTTCTCCGAGATGAATTGAACCACCGTCGGCCACTGTGTCAAACGGTCGACCGTTATGAACCTTGTAGCTTATTAAAATGATATTTAAATCATGTTTCATCCAATTAAATTCATGCATGATTATATACGCATATTGTGTGCAAATTATTCATATTATATGATTCATTTCATCATTCATATCACATCATATGCATGTGTAAGAGATCATGCCTCGTGCGTCTCTTATAGCGCGATTTCATATTGAAGCATAACACATCATATGCATGCGTAAGAGATCATGCCTCGTGCGTCTCTTATAGCGTGATTGTGCGGGACTTAGCAGTCCGACATCACGCGTTCAGGCTTAGTGTACGTACATAGTATTCAGGCTTTCGAGTACCACCCCCATATTCTTTCTAGTCTCACATCATTCGTGAGACTAAGGTGGCGTGAGTTCGTCGTACAAACTGGGCGAATCTCATAGCACAAGGGCCGTCCTTACACGTTAGTTTCATGCATCATGTTAATATCATCAAATACAATTATATTGATTACATAGGTGTCATGTAATCATCATCAAGTACAATTATATTGATTACATAGGTGTCATGTAATCATCATCAAGAACAATCAAATTAATTAAATGTGAAATCATGTTATCATCATCAAGTACAATTGTATTGATTACATAGGTGTCATGTAATCATCATCAAGAACAATCAAATTGATTAAATGTGCAATCATGTTATCATCATCAAGTACAATTATATTGATTACATAGGTGTCATGTAATCATCATCAAGAATAATTATATTGATTAAATGTTCCATCAGGTAATCATCATTAAATATTCATCATCATAAACCATCAACTTGATCATATTATATAATGTGCCATAATGATGAATATTATTATACATTTTTATGGACGTATATATATGCATATGTATATGTCTGTGAATTATTCTATAATTCTAGTGTGGTACCCCTCAGCAGTTTCGCTGAGCGTGTAGTTTGTATTTTTCGTTGACTACACGTAGATAACAAGAAGACACGAACGGAACGACGAGAGGAGGGCATTAAGTCAGAGGAGATGCAAGGATTGCAGGCAAATGTTTGATCATCAAAATTTTAAATGTGTCATGATTTGATTATTATTGTACTTCCGCGTTACTCCGAAAATATTTTTAATGGGTCGCGATCCAGAGTCTGTAAATTTAACATTTATAAGTAATTGTCATTTTCAAATGTCAAGCGAAATTTTTATTTAACTCCGGTTTCACCTTAATACGTGTAATTCCGGGTTATACGCATTAGGGTGTTACACTTCGAATATCATTAATAATCTTTATTTTAGATCTCTTCAAACAAGTCCATTTAAAACTTTAGAACCCATATCATCTCTTTCACATTTTTTCTATTTATTTTTTTAACGGTCTCTAATCAACTACTTTGATCATTAATATTACGAGTATAAAACATAATATTTCAAAACTATATATTTAAAATAAACCTATTGGCTTATAAAGTTATGTAAGAATTCAATATACTTTATCGATAATTTGTTATAAAAAAATTGATCAAAAAAGTCAAACTGATAAAAAAAGGGTGGGAGGAAGTAAATTTTGTTGGAATGTTACTTCCCAACAAATTTTACCATATGACTGTAGGGATGTAACAGATATTAATCGAATCGGATATGCCATTACCAAATCCGTATCTGTTTATTTTTGTCGGATATCGAATTCAGATATGGATCTTGACGGATACTGAAAATCAAAATTGTATCCGCATCCGTCGGATATCGGATATATTCGTATCCGTTTCCAATTTTTAAAATCAAATTAAACAATACATTAATTTTAAATTAGATTAAAGTCAAACTATTATTAAATCAACTATAATTTGGTATGAGATAATTATTTTCTTTGTTTTCATGATTTATGATATTCTACGATAACTTAATATGATAAAAAGATATATACACAACACACATATACACATATTTTTATATGTCTGTACATATTTTATGCGTCTACACATTTATTTTGTATATAAAAATTTCTTATATTTTGAAATATCAATAGAGAAACAAAATATAAACATAAATATCAATAGAAAAATTATATATAACGGATCGGATATTTGGATAAACGGTTATTTAAACGGATGCATATTTGGATCGGATTTTAAACGGATCGAATATACAATTACCAAATCCGTATCCATTTAGTAATCAGATAACCTTAATCGGATACGGATAATATCTATTTAAAACAGATACAAATATTTTCTCTTTTAAAAGGATTCAGATGCGGACAATAATCAGATTTTCAGAGTTATGCTACAGCCTACATGGCTGCATATGAGCCCTAACGTCTACACTGGTAATCGTATAAAAGAGAGCACATTACTCCGTACACCACGTCCATTTTTTGGACTGTTGTTTACTTACTGAACTACTGTATTTCATCTGGATTGAGTTAGATCTGGATTGAGTTTGAGATTTTCCTTTCAAATTCATCATCATCCATGGCCGATTCATTGCTCTAAGCCAATTTTCCACTGTAAATTTTCTGGGAACTAGGATTTTGATACCTCGGAAAGGCCATGACAGCGGATGAATCAAGCAGCTCTGTCTGGAGCAGGGAGCAGGACGTAGCATTCGAGAATGCCCTAGCAACCTACCCGGAGGATTCCTCCGACAGATGGGAGAGGATTGCCGCCGATGTTCCGGGGAAGTCATTAGAGGAGATTAAGGATCACTATGAGATCTTAACCGAGGATGTTAGCAGGATCGACTCCGGCCGCGTTCCCCTCCCCTGCTACAATTCTTCTACCTCGGACCACTCCGTGGGCCGTGATGGCGATGAAGGAACTAGCAAGAAAGGTGGGAACTCCAACTGTGATTCGAATCATGGAAAGTCTATTAGGGCAGATCAGGAGCGTCGGAAGGGGATTCCCTGGACAGAAGAGGAACACAGGTTTGTAGTCTTTCTTCCATTTATTGTATTGTTGTAATACCATAGTCTATATGTATTCTTTTACATTCTTTTTTTTCTAACACAGGATTGCTGTCATTTATCTAAAATTTAATAGTGCACACTAGCAATAATAGTGGAGAATTAAGGCTATATGTTAGGAAAGATTCTGGAGGGCAGAAATCTCTTGTAATACTGATTAAAAGTATATCGTTTGAATGCTTTAGTCACTTTGGCAAACCACGGACAAGGAGTCTGTTTTAGACTGAAATGATTTAAGCAATCTATTAGCAAGGCCCTCCCTCCATATGAGGCCAAATTTATTTTCCTTCTCCAAATCTCCGTGCAAAAACAAATTATGCAGTATGCACATCCATCTGATGTAATTGGAGCGAAACTTTCATTGTAGTCTAGCCCCTTCATGTGTTGACTTCCGAGAATAACGAGTTGAGCCTTATAGTGCTTGGTCCCCCATCACATTAGTGTTTGATTTTGCACACCTATTTGTATTTCGACAATATCCTTTGCATGAAAAGCAGTACCAAGGTCTAGGTACTATTCCTCTTGAGTGCTTTAATCTAAAGAATCATAGCCCTTCACCGATGAATATCTTGAAGAACATTGAAATCATATTGTTCCGTATCAGAGTCCATGGTTGGACAGACCAAGGCCTGGTCAAGTCTTGGGTCATTGTTGTTGAGCAGTGATCCGTCCCTATTCCCGAGAACACGCCGTGTGATTTTTTCATTTGTTTGAAATGGAAACATGGATCACAAAGAATAACATCATGTGAGACAATAATTTTTGTTGGAATGCATGAGCTCAACGGATTTGTTCTCTTTAGTGTTGACTCACAAAGTGTTCAAGTGACAAACACAATGACAAAGACAAGAAGAACTATGTCAAAGAAAGACAAGTTTGATGGAGGAACCCATCTGAAGAAGAACAAGAGTTTTATTGACGATCAAATGTCTCTCAATTTATTTGTGTCTTAGGAAACATTTTTGTCTACTCTTGAAAATATTTGCATCTTGATTTTATCACACACAAAAATATTTTTAGAGTCGGTTGAAAAATGATTTTGGGTCACTTCAAAAATACTGTATCGAGTTAGATGAAAAATGTGACAACTTTATTATCTTACCCATTTAGTAATCAAGGCGTCACCTAGGCGTCGCCTAGGCAACGCTTAGGCGGCTGGGCGAGGTATTGTGGACGCCCAATTGGTCGCCTAGCCTTTTCTTCCATGGGCGACTAAGGCTTCAGTTTGGCATTGGTTTGGCATCTATTTGGCGTTGATTTGAGATCTGAATCGCGAGGAAGGTCTGAAATCCATAGGAATTTTTTGGATTTGCAATTTAGATCATGAGGTCGTAATATCTATTGGATCGTGATCGACAGAATTCCCTTAGGTTTTGACCAGCGATCGTGAATTGTCCGGATCTATGCGACCCTTCGGTTTTGACGGAAATCCCTTAGGTTTTGACCAGCGACAGACTAGGCGACTCTTCTTCCCAGTAAAGTGTTTCATTTTTTTTATTTTTTTGTGAGTGAAACATACGGAATATGTGTTCTATGGAGTTTTTTCAAGGATATCTACTTTATATTTTTTTAGAGTAATATGTTATCTATTTTTGTTTTCAACAAAGTATACACTAAGTAATGTATTTCATACCTATAAAATTAATTATTTCATCGTATATGCTTTTACATCAGTATCAATAAAATTATTAAGGTTGCCATAGCCCACTCCCCAACGGAGGCCTAGGAAGGCGCCTAATTGCCTAGGCAATTGGAAGGTACTCTAGCGCCCGGCCTCGCCCAGCCGCCATAACAACTATGTCATATGCACAAATATTTTTCATTCACAAAAATATTTTATTCAAAATATTCTTAACATCTTTTGACACATAAAAAATTTCAACTAGTTTTTTGAATCTCAAATTTTGAATATTTATACTCCCATGGGTCAATGTGTAGCTTAGTTTATAATGCCCACTGGTTCCCTAGCCTGTGTAGGCTTAGTCATTATGTTTCCAATATTCAAAATTTTTGATATTGGACTTTTGCTCCCAGGTAATCAATCACGACATTGGATAATCGATTACGAAGTGTTTCCCTACCAAATGTTGAGTTGTATACTTTGTGTAGTTGATTATGGAGTGCCCGTAATCGATTATGGTGCTATGCTTTAGCTGCATGTTTCCAAACTCATATTTTTAGCCAACCTCCTCTCCTTGGATCAATTTTTGAACCTATTCCGTTCGAAATTTTGAAAAACTCACAACATGAAGATTTTAACACATTTTCAATGGAAAACATCAGTTTTTGAATCACTCAATTCCAATTTAAAATGAGAGAGATATGGTCATTTTACTAATGCTAAAAACTGTCAAAATGCGCAATCGTTTAGGTCTTTCGTGTAATTGATTACGAAGTGTTTTCTAGCCCAAAACTCACTTTTTTCATCCTTTGCACTTCTAAAGACCCTATCAAAGCACACATTTTAGACAAATTCACTCATAATATCACAATATGCCCACATTCTCCAATGTTTAAATCACTTATTTGAGCTTGTGTTTTTTACATAATTGTTTTCTTCATTGAACATCCTCCATCTTCCATAGAGCATTCATTCTACCCATTCTTACCTTGTTTGAGAGCTTATTATCGAGTGTTTAAGAAGATCATTCTTCTTATTGCCAAGCCATGGAGGTTCAATCTAAGTCTTGTAGTGAGACATCTACGAGTGGTGTAAAGTCTTGGAGTGAGGTATCTCCAAACGGTTGTCGTGAGGCTTGTGTGATTCAAGCTCTCAGGATGTAATCGGTTTTTTCAAGCACCCGTTTTAAGTTTGAAAGGTAATGGAAATTGCGAGTGAGTCACTTGGGGGCTAAACTAACCACGATGTGGTCTACCATTCGACTTAAAATATCAAATATATTAGTGTAACATAGAGGGCCAAAAAGGCAAAAACAAGTTTCTTCTGTTTGTGCAGTTTCGTTCACACTCACTTTGAGTGTACCTGCAAAGCACCTACCATGCTCCGTTTGTAGAATTGATGGTTCCTCCCTCCCTAACCCCCTAGATCACTTATTTGGGGGGGGGGGGGAGGGAGGGGCTGAGGTGGGGGTATGTAGAAACCGTCGATTTTAGAAATAGAGCACCGTAGGTGTCCCAACACCCATGTGGCACCGTATTACGATGTCAGTGTCAACGGAACCACACTGTTCTTCCCCATAGAATTGAAAATATTTATACACACAATGGGGTGATTTATAATTGATCTAGTTAGTTTAGATGGACTAATTGCTTAAATATATATGAGAAAATAATCGTAATGACTCGAAAATATTTATGATTTCCAATTCTACACTATCCTAAGAAAAGGATTCAACATTTTCTTGGTCGGCCTCAAAATAATGTTTCAATTACTTTTCAAGGAAAATGAAAGCCAGAACATCATACCAAAAATGCAACCCTATTTCTCAATCTCCAAGAAAAGACATCATACCCTAATTCTCGATCTCCAAGAAAAGCCAGAATATCATACCAAACCCAAGAAAAGACAGTGTCCCGATAATCCGATATTGACCAACTGCCCTAATTCTCGATCTCCAAACATTCGTGTCTAAGGCCATGTCCTAGTGAGCTGCAACCTCATGCGTTGTTGTCTAATCACCTCGCCCCAACTCTTTTTAGGTCAACCCCTGCCTCTCATCAAGTTTATTATTGCCAACCTTTCACACCTTAAAGCTTCAACCACCTCAATTTCGACTAGCGCATTTTGTCCTCCACATGGCCACTCTTACCTTACCATATTATCCATCCTATCATGGATTGGGCATTAGAAATGGGCCAAATAATTTTGGAGGCTCTGTGCAAAGGCACACACTTTCCACTAGTCAGTGAGCTTGAGGGCCTCCAAAAATCATGGTGTATTAACACAAACATTCCACACTCATATTAAAACTAAGAGGAGAACTTTTGTGAGAGTGTTTTGCTCAAATACAAACATCACAAACAGAGTTATTAAATTGATTGTCCCATCCAGCCTAGGGAAAAGGAAGAAAGCCTTGGGTGTGGGCTGTGGGGTGCCCAAGACACTTATGCCACAAATAAACAAGCATTTTCTTTTTTAGGCCAACGGAGTCTGCATTTCTACCTGCCTGAGGTAGTAAAGGCCACCCAACAATCATGTATTGCACAGCATTTTCTAGTAAACTGAATAACACACTTGGACTCGTCTACCAATTGGAAACCGAAAGAAATTCAGGGACAAATAAAATATTTGACAAATTCAGTACATCTGTTAGAACAATTTGGATAACTTTGGTAGCGGCACGAGGTAGAAAACAACATAGGGGGAGGCTGCTTTGTCGCGATGGGAGGTAGAACCTGAAGAGACTTGGGAAATCTCATACCGAGTTAAAATATGATAAACAAATCTCAGTGGAGGAAATGGTTGGGATAACAATTAGGATTTAGTCGATCCATAAACGAATTAATCAACACCCAACAACAATTCATGGACCCATTCTTCATCACACTTTTGGTCATGTAAGTATGTAACGCATCAAGATTTTCCAATTTGCTCAATCATTCTAGAGTTTTTTCATCTTCCTAGATCAAAAAACTATTGTCATACTTTAATGTTCGCAGTCGGACAACTCCCATTTCAATTGGTGTATCCGTCGACCATTGCAACAGAAAACTGGGATTTAGTGTCGTCCTACAGTTCCCAAGCCATCTCCATGTGGAAAATCGTGGATCTCAAAGAAGGTTCAGTAGTGTTGCGGACCCATGACACAGGCAGGGAGTTGTCTGTCCACCAATCATCAAGACCGTTAGAGTTAGGACTTAGGAGGCTATAACAGGATTATACAATCAACGAACCCGAACTTCTTTGCAGCGCACAGAGTTATGCGGATGGCACATTCCCATTCTTCATAATTGTCACCCTTTAGAATATTTTGAGTGATTAACATACATGGGTTATCACG